GTAACTAACGTTTCTTTTCCAATCACTGTATTACCAGGACACCTGTAACTAACGTTTCTGTGCGATATTATTTATAGTCTTGTGACTAGTGTTTATTTTCCAGTCATTATATTACCCGGAGACTCGTAACTAACGTTTCTGTACGATATTATTTATAGTATTGTGACTAGTGTTTCTTTTCCATTGACTGTATTACCCGGAGACTTGTAACTAACGTTTCTGTACGATATTATAGTCTTGTGACTAGTGTTTCTTTTCCAGTCATTGTATTACCCGGTGACTTGTAACTAACGTTTCTGTAGTTCATACACTGATTGTGTGCTATGTCGTACTACCATGACTAGAGTTCCTTCACTATGCCTTATTACCATGATTAACACCACGAAGCTGGTTTACTGTTTAATATACAACGAATCTGTAATGACGTTGCTATTATAAAGTAACTAATACCATATGTTTCTCTATGATGACGTGTTCTATCGTGACTACCATTTTGAAAAATACATCAGTCGGTACTCCTGCAGTTTGTACAAAAGTATCGATACCCAATATTTGAAGAATTATGCTAATTATTTTGAATACTTATTGAAGCAAGTAGCAGCTCGTTAAAGTATGCACATAAATAGATTTGTAACAGCTAATGCAGACGTAGTAAAATCTTCATTTTGAAAAATTGCACAACTACACAGGTTTGTATAATTTCCTCACTTAACGATCATGACTGTCGGTATGCATAAATCCGCCCATTTATTTACTTATTTTTACTTTTAAAACTTTTTCTAGAATAACAAGGTAAAAGTCTTTGTAAACGGGGGTTTCCCCCACACTACATCGTTTTACTCAACCCGAACAGGCCTAACATTTGTAGCATGAAGAAGACCCATGTTACAGGATTCTGAAATTTCAGAAGTTTAGACTCCGCTAGGTCTTCAAAGCCTTTAGTTATCAGTTGATTTCTCTTTAATAATAGCTAACATATTCAAGGAGTTGAAAAAAAAATCTTTCTATAGATCTAGGTGCACATAAAGTTGATCATGAAGTAGTTACTTTCATAATGAAATTTATACAAACATTCTATTTTCTCAAACTAACACGAGATTAAATTTCATTCTTACGAACAAATTCTGACTTTAACCAAATCACTTGTACTCTGTCTCGCTGATACGACACGGGTTTCCACGTGAAAGAAACGTATTCCACGTATTTTTCTGTGTACAAGACGCACTTTTTTACCCCC